CCTGTGGTGTCATATGGGGTTTTCTGACGTTGAATGTGCTTTTACATTGTCCTCTTCTCAGCCTTTCTTCTGGTGGGTGTAGCAGGAGTCTCTTTCTCTCCTTCTGGATATGGGACCAAGGTTCCCTTCTGGTAGATTCAAACATACCCAATACTCTGATGTCTGACCTCTTCTCATGGATGGAGGTGGCACTGATACCTGGGCCTCAGCAGTGTTCAGGTGTGTTGGGTCCCGTTGCAGAGTTTGGATCTGGTGAGTAGATCCCTGGCGTCAGATCAAATTTTTTCACTTTAAATGACAATACTTCTGCTGCTACCCGAAAAGAATTTTTTCCCTAAAGGAGACACATCCTAAAGTATATGTTAAATGGAAATACCTAGAAACAAATCGATAGAAAGGGCCAGGTGTTCTTCTAACATCAGGGTGAGGTTATTTTTGTTTCTTCCCCCCAAATGAATGAAGTCCCAGATGATTTCTGTTCTGATGCAGCTGACCATGACAGCATCCCAGAGACCACTGGACAAATGAAGCATTTGAAGGTAGACAACAAACCCATCAAGGGAGATGACTAAAGAGAAGAGAGATGACTAAAGAGAAGAGTAAGCCTATGACTTGGGGAGACATCATCAAGGACACAATACCACTGACATGAAAATGATGCTGTTATATTTACTGACTGTAGTACATGTTAATTCTCAGCTTGTCAGAATCCAAATATTTTTTTTTTATCAGGGGTGATAAAATGTGCTTCTGTAACAGGAGACAGCATGCTGTTGTTTTGCCATGCTAATGATTGTTTTTTATCTATTGGAACCAATTGTCTGGACAAAAGATGTTATACAAATATTGAGTCACATGGATGAAGGATATCTTGGTTGGACTAATCTAATCAATCAGTCCAAATTCAATAATACAGATTTTAGCATAATTAGGTACTCTCCAGAGAGCTCTGATAGTGGAAATTATAGTTGCATGAAGACGAAAAAAGGAGTATCTAATCTAATGTATTGATATTATTGTTCCCAGAATAGTGCTATCTGTTGCCAGTGGTTCAGAAAATAACCTCTGGCTGCATTTGGTACATGACAGTCAACAAGAACAATCTTTTTTTTTTTTAATCAGCAGAAACCATCTATTCCTGGGCTCTTAAAATGTTTTATATGGCTTAGGAGTTACTCATATGCATTAGAGTCTACCCACACCTGTATTCATGCAGCTTCCTCTGATATTCCTGTCAATGGTGTTTTTTTAATAGCATTGTTTATGCATTAAATGTGCTTATATTCCTCCCTACGGTAATTCCACCTCTAATCATACCTTTCTCTCAGGTCACAATTGCCTTTGGGAAAATGCTATATATACTGCCCTTCCTGTGGGTTATTATGGCTTATGTGGGATAGGCTGTATTACATACAATTTGTTCTACAAACAATCTATCAACCAATGGAATTAAGAGCTCTTTCTCTCAAAGCTGCCATGATTCTTTGCATCTATTTGATCCTGTAATCGTTGCATCCACAACAACTTTTTTATTACCAGTCCCAGGAATACAAAAATGGTCTCAAAAATGGCCTGTAGGGCTGACCTGAACAAGGGGTTGCTCATGAACCCCAGACTGATAGAACTGTTCCAGACCCCCTGAACGAGGATGTCAGTTTGGCGGTCTGGTTAATCTATGGGGCCTCCAGTAGTGGATCAGTATTTATCCCTAGTTCACAAATGAACTTTGGGAGCCCAATCCATATAGAGGGATACTATCTTAGCCTAGACACAAGGGGGAAGGGACTAGGCCCTGCTCCAAATGATAAGACAGATTTTGAAGATCCCCCCTGGAAGGCTTCCACCTCCCTGGGAACAGAAAGGGGATGGGATGGGGGGTCAGTGGGGGGAAGAGGAGAAGGAGAGAGAGAGGGAACTGGGAATGACATGGAAAACAAGCTTGTTTCTAATTTAAATTTTTAAAAAAGGAAAAAATGGCCTGTGGGTGACAACCAAGGAACCTGCATGGGACTGACCTAGGCCCTCTGCATATGTGTGTTGAACCAAACTGGCTTCTTGCCTCCTGTAGACCATGACTCTTGTGGCCTTGGTGGTCTCAGAGACCCTCTTATAAAATCTGAGAAAGAAGAGGAATGCACACAGGAAGAATTCACCCATCAGAGGCAGGGATTTTGATCGGGATCTTGGGAAAGAGTGCTGACTGACAGAAATGAGGCAGATAGAATGCCCCGTGAACGCACGGTGGTTGTAATGGACAGCTTTGCTTCCCTGCTCAGTAGAGAGATTAAGAGGCAAGAATGCAAAGAGCCAAGACTGGAAAAGCAAGGATGCCGTTGAAGGTGCAGATAGAGACGAGTCAAATGACTGGAGAGACTTGAAGAGATGGACATACTTTCGATAACAAACTCAAGAGAGGAGTGGAATCCCCACCTCCAGCAGGCCTCTCTGCTATTCCCATTCAGCTTTATGTGGAATTCTGCTTCGCTAGAGAAATGTTGGCACCCCACTGTCTCCAAGCTGTATATGAAAAGCTGTTGTAAGTCTGCTTGTGGCAAAGTTCTCAAGCTATTTCCTTGCCGGTGTTTCCCTGAAGAGAGATATAATGGCTTAAGTTGGAGCTGGGCCCAAAAGCATGTCCCATTTTTTCATGAAGATTTCAGCTTAGTCTCCGTCTCTTTCAATGTGACTGGGGGAGAGAGAGGGACTAGCCTAAGACAACCATTCTGCCCCCTGGATATCCAGCTTTACCTACCCAGCACTCCTGGTGGCCAGCTTGGACATTTTTCTCCACTCTTAGCCTCTGCAGATGCAGCTTGTTCTAATAAAGTTCTCAGGTACCTTTGGCCTCTTTCTAAGACCCTGGAGAGATATTTTCTATGGGAATTTAGCGTGTGATTTTTTTCCTCACAGGGACAGGATATGACGGAGACTTCCTCATTTTGTTCTGTCTATTCTGGTATTTATAACAAAGGGTAGAGCCAATAGCTTATGTCCTAAGGTGGAAGGCGGGTGAGTATTTCTGTCATTCATGAGCTGCACCCCACGCTTCCTGAGTTCAGCTGCCAGTCCATGTCAAAAGAGTCCTAAGCATCAGGGACTAACTTCACAGTCATCCCCTTTACAGGGAAGTGAGATTATCTGCCACTTGGATCTTCTGCTGTTTCCTGAAAGGTATGTGGCTCCTTTGCAACACCTGTATGAACCTTCTAGAAACAGAAAACAGAAAGAGAGAGAGAGAGAAACCCAGGGGGAATGCATATCATAGAAAAGCACTCTGATTGCCTGAGCCCAGTGATTTTGTGAGATGTGGGGTGCCTTAGGAGAGATGCCCATTGAGGCTGGCCCCTCCGAGGAGGCAAGATTTGGATGCATTCTTCTCCTCCTGCAGATGAAGAGTTCATTCTTAAAGCAACTCGGCCCCTAGAAACTAAGAAGGTGGAAATCCTCTTATGGACCAACTAAAATCACACCAGTGTAGGCTAGTGAGTAGTAGTGGGCACTGGAGTGGGAAAGGGGAGGGAAGTGCATCAGGCTCATTTGCCCATTGGAGCTCATGCAGGTAGCAGCAAGATGAAACACACCAATTGCGCTTTGCAAAAGCAGCAATGGCCAAACAGAAGTGAGAGATGGGTTTCAATACTTTAGTGTGCAAGATGCCCTTTATCCTGAAAGGAACATTTCTGGAGATCCCAGCAGAGCAGAGAGAATATGGTCCCCACCTGCACAGCTTAGGCTAGGTCCGAGGCCCCTTCACCGAGGTCTCCATTCTCACCCCAAATTCAACATGCCTAGCTTCTTCCTTTCTCCAGCCAAATTTCTCCATCTGAATCAGAATCCAGAGCTCATTTCAACCTTAGTGCAAATGGCGGGAACTAGAAAGTGTTTCCTCTTAGGGGGCAGCCGCACTCCAGGAAGGGTCAGAGCCTTTAGCTGAAGGACAGGTGGCAAAGGGGCCTCAAGACAGCCAGGCAGCAATGGGGAGATGTGTGGTGTTTCCCCACAAAGTCAACCTCAGGAAAATCTCTTCCATTCCCTTCAGGAAGTCGGCAGATCACTAGCTTCCAACGAAAGGCTATCCAGCAGACACCCCTGAATACTGAACATGGGACTAAGTACCTGGGACTCCCATCTGGGAAGATGCTAGTGACAAAGTCTTAGGGAAACTTTGATTTAAGTTGCTTTAATTAGCAGTAAAATTTAAATTCACCGATTGGTTTTGTAGCTGGATACCTGTGATCTAGTCTGTTTAGTGAGGCTGACCATGGCAATGCTTGAGGCTGAGTGGTTCCGGGCAGTGTTATGGTTTCAGGTTATTGATGCACTTCAAAGCTGAAACCAGAACTGACCCAACACAGCTGGTAGGAAGCTGGGAGAGAGAGAAAACAGGTGCTATAATCAACAGTTGAGATAGAAACTTCACTCTAATACCCTCTAGCTGTGCGTGAAAGTGCCCCACATGCCTTGATTTCCCTACCTGTAATTTGAGCTTATTGGTAAAAGTAGCAGTAATGCTGATGATATAGGTGTTTGATAAATAAGTGCTCAATTTTTGTTAGTGTTTACTGCTGTGGGCATATATGAGTTGCATGTGCTTGGGGAGCGGGCACGTGCGCATGCGCTCCCTGTATTTTCAACCTCTTTTCCTAGAGCTTCGGTGATGGAAATCATGTGTGTATATCACAACAGAGAAATGACAACAAAGAACTGTGGATCCTCCATTCCAATTCTGGAACACACTACCCCACTTGCTTACCACTTGGGAAAGAACAGACTCTCCTGGGCTAACCAGAGTTAGGGTTCATTAGGCTCTCTGTCTATTGCCCTGACATCCTCTCCTGAGTGGACGGACCCATGCTACCGCCTAATGCAGTTGACTAATTCCTCTCATTGGAGCTCATCTAGTTAGACCCATAAATACAGCCTCAGTCCCACTGCTTTGCAAACTGCTATCTGGGTGGTGATGTGCCTTACGTGGCTTTGCTCTCTTGGGGCTCTAAGCTATGCCCGGTCCACAGAACCGAGGCACAAAAGAGAAGGGAGGGAAACCAGATGAGGAAGAAACACAAGCCAGTGTGGCTTCGGATGCCTTGCTGTCACTTGTCAGAGCTGCAGTGGACTGTCCTTCTAACCCAGAAGCTGCTCTGAGAAGCCTTCATCAATTCCCTGTTACTTCCTATGACTGCTTTCCTGCTGTACAATCCCAATCCTTTGCCAATGGTTTTGCAGATAGTGTGGCTGGTGGTAGGCTTTTCAACTCTCAGTAAGCCATGGAAAATGGGGTGACAAAAGACAGAGTAGAAAAGTGAGTTGGGATGTGTTGTAATAAAAAAAAAAAGTTTCCTGAGACAGAAAGACACTAAGCCACAGAGTTCATGTGGAGGGGTTTTTATTAGGGGAAAGGGATCATATAGGGGGGAAAGGGAGGGGGGAGACTGGCCTCTGGGGACAGGAGCAGCAGAAGAGGAGAGGCAGGGAGACAACGAGAGAGGGGAAGAGAGAGAGAGAGAAAGAGAAGGGAGACAGAGAGATAGGTAGAAAAGCAGAGAGAGTGAGAGAGAAAGGAACACAGAGAGAGACACACACATGGATTTGGGGGGCATGGGAGGTGGGCAGGGCCCTTTTAAAAGGGAGCATAGTGTATGTGCACAGGAAATGCTCTAAGTGGCTGCAGCTTTCAGAACACCAAGGGCAGGACAGTGCAGATGCCTGAATACTAACAGAATGAAGAATAAAAATCCACTGAATATCCTCTCCCCAAGAGGAAATGTTGTGATGGGCTAAACGGTTTCTAGAAGAAAATGGGAAACTGATGTTTTAAAAGTGGAGAGAAGCTGGGCGTTGGTGGCACACGCCTTTAATCCCAGCACTAGGGAGGCAGAGGCAAGCTGATCTCTGTGAGTTCGTGGCCAGCCTCTAGGCTCCAAAGCTACACAGAGAAACCCTGTCTTGGAAAACAAAAAAAGATAGAAAGAGAGAGAGAGAGAGAGAGAGAGAGAGAGAGAGAGAGAGAGAGAGAGGAGAGAAGGAGAAGGTGCTGACTTCTACTTATAGAGTATGTCTTTATTTCTATGTTTGAAGCAGAGTCTGGGTAGGAAGTCTGGGCTCTCTTGATGCTCATGATCCCTCTGCCTTCTGCATGCTGGGATACAGGTGTGAACATTACATGTCATTCAAACAACATCTTGTCAATCCATAGAAGGCTTAAACTTTTCCCTTGACAGTGGTTCCTTCCATTGCTCAATCACAAACATTGAGGTTCACCCAGCTACAAAACCAGCTTTAAATCCCACAACTAAATAAAGAAGCTATGTGGAGAGACTGTGTGCACTCCAAGATGTGTTGACCACATGAGACTTGCTGGCTGCTAGGCTTAGATGCTAGCACAGAGCCCAAGGGGGACTTAGAGCTAGAAGAGACAGCCCTGTGAGGGCTGAATTTGAGTCTTCTGGACCACAGGAGGAAGAAGAGCTTTCCAGGTGGCCTTCCTCCACCTGGAGGCCCTCCATCAGCTGGGCCTAAAACTGCTATAGACACAAGAACAGGGACTAGCTAACCCACTAAAGGCACTACCTGAGGGATCAGAACAGATGAAATTGTCCCAGAATGTCCCAAAAGTTGGCAGGCAGCCACCAGATATATACTCTGTTTTGGAAAAAAAAAATACCAAAACGGCTCTCTGTTCCCCTATCTTATGAACCTGATGTTCCAGGGCATAGAAAATTGTACACAAGGATCAGTGGTGGGGAGGAAGGGAGATAAAACTGCATTTGAGATTCTTCTGAGATTTCTCATTCTCTGGGGAGTGTCACTAACCCAGAGGAGGGTGACACCGAGCCCCCACACAAGGTATGGCTCCATTCCTGACTCTAAACAATACTTGGCTTCCTCTGGGACCCTTCAGCCCTGTCCGCTCACAGATCCATGAGTTCCAACAAGCCCAATGGTAACAACATCTCCTGGTAAAATTAGAAGCAGTTCTCACATCCCGTCGGGGTTTAAAAGAAGCCATGGCCTGATGTGGAACTCCAAAATCAGAAAACAGCAAGTAACAGAGACAACAGCTGATCTCAGGCCTGCTGAGCGAACGCTCACTGCCCACATAACCCAGCATGTTTATTACTTTCTAGGTGGCCCACACTGTTGACAGATGGCAGATTTCTCAGTATTCCTGGGGTTTCTGAAGCAATGGTGGAGCAGCATCTTCTTCACCCATTTTCTCCTCTTCCTCCAGTTGGGGGAGGTAGACTCAGGTAGTGTATTTGATCTACAGCCATATTCGGTCCACCCAGGTAGGATATGAGCAACTGGGAAAACCCTGCCTTATCTTTGCTAGGTGACCTGTAGAAATGGACTCTCATAATGCAGCACCAGACCATACTAATTGCTAAAATGCAAAAAGATGACCATGCAAGGTTCTGGATTTTTTGTTTGTTTCATTGACTGGTTTCTTTCTTCCTTCCTTCCTTCCTTCCTTCCTTCCTTCCTTCCTTTCTTTCTTTCTTTTTTTTTTTTTTGCTTTTTTTTTTCTTTTGAGACTATTCTTGCTATGCAGCCTAGGGTAGCTGGAATCACAATCCCCTTTCCTCCCCGTTTCTGGGATTGCAGTTATATACCACCACTCACTACTTCTATACCGGTTGTTAAAGAGCCATAAACTTGATGCCCTTCCATCAGTTCACCAGGCCCTGTTAACCCATATACACTTCCCAGGAACAAAGATAAGCACAGCCAAGAGCAATTCTTTTTCCCTGGAAAGCCTTGCAAAATACATATTCCCTGGGAAGGAAACAGATGGAGGATAAAGTGGGATGGAGTAGAGAGGGAGGGAGGGAGGGAGAACGAGGAGAGAAGAAGGGATAATGACAGAGAGATCTCAGGTGTGTGAGAAAGACACTTGAAAAGACCCTGGAGAGGGAACCTGGTAGGAAGGTGATTGAGATTGACTGGGATTCATCCAGGAGGCAAACAGTTTGGTCCAAAAGGATACATGATCTATGGGCAAAGAGAAGGATAGGAGGGAGATCTAGGATGTTGAGTTTGGGGAAGAAGTTTTAATTGAATTCGGAAAGAAGGAAAGAGACTAATTTAAGGATAGCAGAGAGACCACTTGGAGATTCCACGAAAGAAGAGAAATGACCAAGTCGTGG